CTGTCCCTCCCTCCCTTCCTTAAAAGAAAGAAAGAAACAAAACGTCATTTTCACCCATTTCTTCACTCTGCATGGAACACTTTCATCCAGTATGTGAGTTTTCATGTTATATTTCTCCAGCAAGAGCAATGGGCCATTTTTAGCTGTTTGGTTCTTAGAGTCTTTAAACTGGCCTCTGGAATCTGTAAGGATAAACAGGAGCCTGTGTTTGATTTAAAATTGGAAAGCCAGGAGTCAGAGGCGAGCTTTATATATCTGGGAGTGTGGGAGCCTTGCAGGCTGATTTATGAGGGAGCTCAGTGAAAGCACATGAAAGTTGAGGTAATATTTATAAATTCTTTCCTCCAAAGATAGATGGAATGTTCTGCAGAGCTGGAGTCAGATAACACCTGCGGGGGGGGGGAGGCTTTAAAAATCTGGTTATTCAGTGTCTTAAAGGGAAGGGCAGTGTTAGATGTTGGGTACCTGCTCCAGAATCCGCCAAAGAAGAAAATAGGATGGAGCCTTCTTTTGCTCCCCACACACTGGTGACTACTTGGTGGCTCCTTCTGGCTACCTGCTAAACACAACCCTTTGTTTACCTTCACTCAATGGGCAAAATCCTAATCGGAATTATGGTGATCACATTTTAGTAAAATAAGTAAAAATAACTGTGTTGCCTTCTTTCTTTAATCAAACAAATAAACAAACAGCATTTCCCCCTATTACTCTAGTTATTGGACCGGGCCGATTCCCTGGAGGTCCTAGCCATGGTGGGGAGGAAGAGGAGGGAAGGAAAATAAAGTTGTGGGAGTGTGGAGAAGGATGATGATGCACTCTAGCTGCTAAGGTTACTGTGTGAGGGGGTTCATTGTTCTGGGTAAACTGAGTCACAGTAGCTGATGCTTAGCTGTAATAATTGCCATTACCAGGCTTGGTAAGAGCCTTGGGAACCAGTTCGGGGGAGACCCAGGTATCATGGCTCTTTGAGTGAGGGGCAGATCAGAGCAGCAGCCTGGCCTTAATTTATGTTGTGGGATTCTGGCCTCTGAGCATAACAGCCATCATTGTCTTGATCACAGGAGCTGTTGCTGCCTGCAAGAAACCTCAAGACTGGATCTGGTGATGTTCTCTCATAGAAGAGAGAGAAAGAGAGAGAGAGTGTGTGTGTGTGTGTGGTGTGTAGGGGTGTCAATAGACTCTCATCTGAAATCTCAGGAACTTCTTCCTGCATCTTTTCCTAGCTGTATGTGATTCTGCCCCCGGATCCCTTCATACAGTGGGTGAAGTGGGTACTAGAGTACACAGAAGAAGGAGGGATTTCATCTGTCCACCTATGGGGAACTAGTTATCTATGCTTACGGTGGGACTTTTTATAGATGTGCCTGGAGAAAATGTTTCTTTAAGAAATCCCACACTCATGCTCCTATACATCCAATAACCTCATTGGTTCACTGAGGCAGACTTGAAATTGTTATTAAGTTGGTCTGTCATTGGTGCTCTGTCTGGAGTGAGTAGACTTTGGTCACATCTCCCTGGGAAATGTAGCTTCAACTATATTCTTCACTCTAAACCCCACAGGCTGGAGAGAGGGGCCAGCTATGTACTCAAGCAGCAGGTGCTTACTGCTAGATAGCCCCGAGTCTTCAGGACAAGAAGCTGCAGAAACAGTTTAAGTAGATAGTGACTGGGAAGGTAAATACTAATCGGCAGACCAGGCACAGTTTGCTCATCGTAGGGTTAGCCAGCTTTGACCTTGGTGCCTCAGAGTTTCCAAGACAGGAGGAAGCACACACCCCAAGCCTCAGTTTTAATTACCATGTGCTTCTGAGTGATCTGCCTGTTTGGAAGCTCAGGGCCTGTCAGTTCTTGGCTGAGAGCAAGCAGGGGCCTTTCCATCTTACCTGCCAGTTCCTGCCCTGGTGGAAGAATTCTGCATGAAAGGCTCTGAGGCTTGAAAAACGTTTAAATATGAGTAGTTTCAGGGTAGTGTGTGGATCACAAATAGAAGGGTTGCTTTAGCTGTACTGCCAGGAACTGGCAGAGAAATAAAATAAATAAATAAATAAAAGAGCCCTTCCTAGCTAAACTTTTAGCAGCATGAGTGATTTTAAGTACTTCATGTAACTTACGCCTCAGGACGTTAGGATGCGGTGTCAGCGCTCCAGCCAGGCCATCTATAGGAACCGGAAAGAGCCCTGGGGACCCCTGCTTCTCCCTTGACTGCAGAATTTAGGATATCTGACAAAGCTCTTGGAGGTCTGAGTTATGTTTGCCTTCTTCTGGAAGACAGCTCTGTGAGCCATACCCCCACCCCAATCCGAGCGCTTCTGTTCCAAAGATTCCAGGCAGCTGCTATCCAGTTCCATGTGCATGCTGTGTCCCTCGTGCTTCAGAGACTCACCCCCAAATCCCTACATGGCAATGTCCAGACAACCCTGACTCTTAGCAAAGCCAGAGGTTAGTCAGCCCAGTCTGAAACTTCCTCCTCCTCTCCTGATGGGAGACTGACAGTGACCTTGTACCAGGGCCAGTTCTTACCTGAGATTCTGCAAGAAGGCACAGAAAACCTTTTATTGCTTCCTCTCTGCTCTTGACGCTTGAGCTCCTTTGAGAGTGACAAGCCATGTTGACAGGATCCTTAGGTGTGGTAATATCAGGTATCATTTATCAAGGGCCCTCCCTGTGCACTTAAGGGACCTACTCCCTTAATGATGGCTATATTGAGACTGTTATTCTTGGGCTGATGACATGGCTCAGCATGCAAAAGTGCTTGCTGTGTAGTTCAGAACCTGCATGGGGGAATGAGGGAAACGACCCCACAAAGTTGTCTTCTGACCTCCCACATGTGTACCACAACCCAGGAACTCTCCTATACCCATCATGCGCACAGAATAACAATAAATACAAATTTAAAAATGTTATTTGTTGGCTGAGACTACAGCTCAGTGGTAGAGTGCTTACTTAGAGTGTATAAGGCCCTGGGTCCAATCACCAGCACTGAAAAAAAAAAAAAAAAAGAAAGAAAGAAAATGACTGTTCTTATGATCCTTGCCAATGTGGAGGAAGGCCAGCGTTATCATTGCAGTGAAGGCAAAGGGGTCATGCTCACCCAAGAGGAAGAGCAAGCCTAGGACATATACTCAGGTTCCTTAGTTGTGAGATGAGGAAGTAAAGAATGGTGGCTGCCCTATAGGATAGTTTTGAGTTCCTGTACGACTAAGTAAGTACTGCTCCCTTAGCAAGGACAGTGTGTGGGTCCTGATACGCAAAGGGACTCAGTCATGGGATAACAGAAACTCAGAGTCGCGGCCCCAGGCTGTCCCTGTCCCACTCACTGCAGAGCCCACCCTCATTATCTTATAAATAAGGAAACACTCTGGGATGGGGGGGAGGGACAAGGAACATTCAACATTGCACTTCCATCCCTCTTGGCACACAAAGGATGACTGAGGAGGCCCCTCAGCCTCTGGACAACCTGATGCAACTTCTGGATATGGCTGGTGTGAACAGAGATAACAGTCTCTGAAAGTCTCTGAACTGGTGTTGCACCTTGGCTAGAGCCATCTTAGAATGTCTAATGCTTCAGAACCTTCCAATACTAGATACTTGACAACGAGAGTGGCCATCGGAAAGCAGTGGAAATAACCGGGATCCTTCTCTACTGTAATTGACTCCGTTTTCTAAAATTGGGATTTTCCAGCACATGTTGGCCTCCAGCTCCTGAGGACAACCTTGAACTTGTGATCCCGCTGCCTCCCGAAGGCTGGTATCACAGATAGTGCTACCATGCCTAGTTTAAGTGGGGTTGGGAATATGGATTAAGAACCTAGGGCTTCATGCTTGCAAGGTAAGGATTTTATCAGTGAGCTATGTCCAGCCCTGAACTTGGATGTCCAATTGTTCTTCGATACCAATGTAGTCATAACATTGAGAGATTTATTGCATCCAGGCTTTTTCTATACATACCAATACAGGAATTTATTGCATTTACAAAAAGAACACACCAGAAAAAAAAAAAAAACCTGGTTGCTATCTTGGAGATAAACCAGTTAGCAACCTGGACTTTGGAAATAGTGTTTTACTTAGAAGCAGAAAAAGAAACAAAACAGGAACATAGATATCTTATTTATTCCCCTGCAGCTTCCCTCTATTTCTCTTTCATTCAAATTTCTCTCCTTCTAGATGAATACATATATGTTACAATGACCTTCAGATTTACTCCCAGTTCAAAACAATTAGAATAGAGAAAAGAAAGAAAAAAAAAAAGAAATTACAGAGGTTTGGACAAGACAGAAAGGAACAAACAAGCTTTGCATGGAAGAGAAGTGAAATGTTTTCCAGAGGGCCTGGCCTCAGCCATCAAAATCTCCATCACTGCCTTTCACTCCGATGCCAAGATGCTTTCTAAATCCAGCAGCAGATGAAGTTTAGTGTAAGACCTCATCTGCTGGATTTAGAAAGCAGGAACTATGATGTGCCCAACAGCTACAGGCCATCTTGACGCCAAGCATTGGGCCACTTAGGGACCCTACCCAGGAGTTTTTGATGCTTCCAGGCTAGGCAGACCTCTGTTTTTGCTACACTCTTACACACACACACACACACACACACACACACACACACACACACACACGGAGATTCCTGCCTTCCCGCCTGAAGTATGCCCTGGAGTTAATGAACATTTCTGTTGAAAAAGGAAAGGAAGAAAAAGAAAGAAAGAAAGAAAGAAAGAAAGAAAGAAAGAAAGAGAGAGAGAGAGAAAGGAAGGAAGAGAAAGAAAGAAAACAAAAACAAAATAGGAGCATGGTCCTTTGGCTCATTGCCCATGCAGAGATGGGCCATTCTGCTTCAGCTCTTGAGGACTGGGAGGAGTTGATGCTAGTCTCAGCCTGAGGCGGTCTCCATCAGGGGGAATGGACAGGTGGAAAGTTGGCAGAAAAGGAGATGCAGAAAGTGAAATGCAGACTGGTGGATACAGTACATTCAGCCCGGAGGAAGCTGGGAAACAGGGAAAGACGACTAAATTCTGGGTAATGTTCTCACCACAGTGAGGGTAGCCATTGTCCAGACAAAATTGCCTCCCAGGAGCCCGATGGGCACCTAGCTACAGCAGTCTCTGGTGCAGTCTCACTTGGACACTAGCATGTGCACAAACTCCTCGTAGTTCACTTGCCCATCACCGTCTGTATCTGCTGCCCGTATCATTTCCTCCACCTCCTCATCACTCAGCTTCTCCCCCAGCCTGGTCATCACGTGCCTCAGCTCGGCTGCGCTCACGTAGCCGTTGCCGTCCTTGTCGAACACTCGGAAGGCCTCCCGGATCTCCTCTTCGCTGTCAGTGTCTTTCATCTTCCTGGACATCATGCTCAGGAACTCAGGGAAGTCCACAGTACCGTTTCCATCCTTGTCAATTTCATTGACCATGCCCTGGAGCTCAGCCTCTGTGGGGTTCTGACCCAGGGACCGCATGACGGTGCCCAGTTCCTGGGTGGTGATGCAGCCATCGCCATCCTTGTCAAACAGAGAGAAGGCCTCCTTGAACTCAGCGATTTGCTCCTCGGTCAGCTGGTTGGCCATGTTAGCAGATCGTGGGTGATGTGGCAGAAGCGGCCAGGCTGGTCTGTGCTTCCAAGCACTAACTGCAGGCTGGGCTCCTTTCCCAGCTCCGTAAAGACAGGTAGAGACTGCAAGGGGCGGCTGTCTGTCTGGCTTTCTAGCCCTGGCTTGACTGGCTGGAGCTTAAGAAAGGAGAAGGGTCCACCCCCATCGTTGGTCTGGTAGGATTGGGCTGCCCTCCACAGACGCCCCCGCCCCTGTGGTTGCCTGAAGGCCAGGTCCTGTTTAGACAAGAGTCCACGAGCCGCAACCAGGCTGGCCTGCTAATTGAGCTGACGCCAGCTCTTGTGTGTGAAAGGCAGCTTTCCTCACCAAACACTAGCAGGGTTAGCAGCAGCCATGGCAACACCCTTCATTCAGGTGTAGGAAAACCCTTTCAATAATAATAATAATAAATCCTGTTTGCCTTTCTGAATGAAGATTGAGCATCTTACCCAGGGTCTCCTTCTTGATTAACTTTCTTAGGTGTACAGATTTTAGTATGATTATCCTGTATTATATGTCTAATATCCACTTATAAGTGAGTATACAGGGAACAGGACAGGAGCCTACCACAGAGGGCCTCTGAAAGACTCTACCCAGCAGGGTATCAAAACATATGCTGAGACTCATAGCCAAACTCTGGGCAGAGTACAGGAAATCTTATGAAAGAAGGGGGTGATAGAAAGACCTGGAAGGGACAGGAGCTCCACAAGGAGAGCAACAGAACCAAAAAATTGGGCACAGGGGTCTTTTGTGAGAATGATACTCCAAACAAGAACCATGAATGGAGATAAACCTAGAACCCCTGCACAGATCTAGCCCATGGCAGCTCAGTGTCCAAGAGGGTTCCCCAGTAATAGGAACCATCTCTGACATGAACTCATTAGCTGGCTCTTTGATCACCTCCCCCTGAGGGGAGAGCAGCCTTACCAGTATATAGAGGAAGACAATGCAGCCAGTCCTGATGAGACCTGATAGACTAGGGTCAGATGGAATGGGAGGAGGACCGCCCATCATTTAACTGGGGGAGGGGCATTGGAGAAGAAGAGGGAGGGAGGGTGCGATTGGGAGGGGATAGGGGAATGGGGCTACAGCTGGGATACAAGGTGAATAAACTGTAATTAATAAAAATAAAATTAAAATTAAAAAAGTAAAACAGACAAAAACGACCTGGTCTTCTGGCCTTGAGTTTTCCTTTTTGTTTTCTCCATTTTGCATCCAACCCCAACCCAACCTTCTGCCCTACTCTCAATAAAACAACCATTCTCCTTTCTTCCATGGAGCTAGAGTTTTCTGTAGATAAAGTGGAAATTCTCTGCAAGTTTCTTGTGTTTGATTTCTAAACTTGATGACAGGCCTGGTGGTTTTTCTTCAGAAGAGACTGCTAAGCATTCCTCCTCTGCCATCCCTAACTACCTGGCTGCTTGTGGAGGGGCTAGGCTGTAGCTGGACATGTGGCCAGGGCTTATGTCACTGGAAAAACAATTAACATGCAGCAGACAATCCCTTGGAAGATGAGGAGTCTGGGTGGGACAATCCTCCTTCAAGAGGACACAGGTAGCTTTGGTTTTCTGGTTTCTGGTGTATGTTTTTGTGGGCCAAACAGCCAGTCTTTGGCCAATTGCTTTACAAAAAAAAAAAAAAAAAAAGGGCACATTGAAAGGGAGCTCAGGAAAGACATTAAACAGAATTACTTAGTACCATGACTCACAAAGAACTGCCTTGTGACTGCCACACTGCTACAATTCAAAAACTGGGAAATTACGGCAGCAGGAACATTTCTCATCTCCTGGCTTAATTCTTTCCTCACAGCCCCTCACTTCCAACACTGGCTTCTTTCTCTCCAGAAAAGAAAAAAAAAATTATATGTGACCCTGTAGATGCTCTCACCCTTCCTAACGCTGTGACCCTTTAATACAGTTCTTCATGTTGTGGTGACCCCCAACCGTAAAATTATTTTTGTTGCTACTTCATAACTGTAATTTTTCTACTGTTATGAATTATAGCATAAAAATCTGTGTTTTCCAATGATCTTAGGTGACCCCTGTGAAAGGCTTGTTTGATTCCCAAAGGAGGGTGCGACCCGCAGGTTGAGAACTACTGTTTCACACATTTAAAATTTATGGAGAAATGCATTAAGTACATAATTAAGATGTTATATTGACACTCAATACACAACAGTGTAAATTAAAATTTTAAAAAGGGAGTTTGGGAGATCATTCAATGGGTTAAGAACCTGACATCTACGTGTAAGGATGGAAGTCTGGATCTCCAGAACCCATGTATAGCTAGATACAGCAATGTTAGCCTATAATCCCTGTGCTCCTATGGCAAGATGGGAGGCAGAGACAGGGGACTCTAAAGGAGCTCAAGGGCCAGCTAGACAAATATATGCTGCCACGAATAATCAGGAAGACCCTGTCCAACAAGGTGGAGACAAGGACCAACACCTGATGTTGTCCTCTGACTTCCTCAAGAATGCTGGGGCACGTGTGTCTGCACCCACAAGAACCCACACACGTGTTTTTAAAATTTCATGTGTGGGGGTGTTTTGCCTGCATGTATGTCTACACACTACATTTGTGCGGTGCCCATAGGAGCCAGAAGAATTGTCAAGTCTACTGGAACTGGAGTTACATATGGTTTTAAGCGACCATGAGGGTGCTGGGAATTGCACACCTGTCCTCTGGAAGAGCAGCCACTGCTAAGACATTTCTCCAGATCCAGCAAAGATTTTTTTTTTATAAAGTGTATTTGAAAAGTCATTAAGGGATGCTTGTATGAATATTTACTGGTTTTGAAGGTAAAACTGTGAAACATCCAAATATATGACATATTGACATATAACCTTAAAAATATAAGTGAAAATCCATGGCTTGTTCACACAAGTAACATCTTTTTAATAATAATAATAATAATAATAATAATAATAATAATAATAATAATAACTTTTTTTCTTAAAAAAAACACTTAAGGAAAGCAGTAGCAGTTCCGTGGGTCTCTTCAGTGTCTGGTTTTCCACAGCATATATGCATGTGGAAACATTGTGTACATGATTGTGTAGCAAACATTATTTTGAAGCAAGTGATCACCCAACATCATATAGACAGGCAGATAGGGAGGAGTGGAGCATTTAAATGGCTTTTGGTTTTCTTTCCAGAAGACTGTGTTATTCTTTTTTGATGCCACATCAAAATCTGACAACTAGCTGTTTCTTGCAGTGTGGAATCTGAGACCACATCAGCGAAATGTTCATAGTCTCATATGCAAATCTGTTGGTCTTGCTTGCACTCTGAATGGTTCCCACATGTGATTTTATAATATCATGCATTGGTTGCTTAGAAAATTCTGGTTCATTAGTTCTGCAGGACTTTTAAATGAAACCTCGAGGTATATTGTCGGGTATACCGAGGATCACCAAAAGTCCTTAGACCACTTTCTGGAACCAGACGCTCCCTGATCCCCGACTCCCTAGTCCCCCTCCTCCCTTCAATGACTCAGTGCCAATGGCTGGCCATTACCTGCTGGCAGCTAACGTGACACAGTCCACTATTGCCATATTTTCCCTTTGTGTATGCTCCATACCCGCTGTAAAGTCGGCCATTATGGCCTGTCATTGTCTCCAAGCCCACCCAGAGGCAGCCACTTTGTGCCCCTCCCCAACAAAGCTTTTGCAGGAAGCCTGCTGTGTGTCATGTGATTTTCCTTGGCCCCCAGTCTCTCAGAAAACTCTTTTACCGCAAAACCCTCTCATATTAGCATAGAAGACTCGGAATAATAAATACTACCACCAATCTAAATGATAAAAGCTTAAAGCACTGAAGAGTCTCAAGTTCACAATGGCAAATATCAACAATCCAAACTTTCGATTTTCATGTGGAAGCTCAAATTTATATTGCCAACCAGTCCCACCTAATGTCTGACAAGTGTCGCAGCTGATAGCCAGCGGCTTCTTTGATAAAAATGATTCTATGGAGGAAGAAACATCAACCTGGACTTTTTCAATCAACCACACAAATCTTTTTCTTATGGCAACTGTCACACTTACATGTTCAGCAGATACTCAAAATGTGTACACAAAGCTGGGATTGGTGGACCATGCCTTTAATCCTGGCACTCTGGAAGCAGAGGCAGGAAGATTTCTGTGTGTTTCAGGACAGCCAGGGTTACATAGAGAGATCCTGTCTCAAAAACAAAAACAAAAACAACAACAAAAAAACCAAAAACCAAAAAAACCCAACTGTATACAAGAACACATTAATACAAATGTGTAGTTATCAGCTTCTTCAAATAAAACTGGCTTTTCTTTGTGAGACATTTAGTAGTCCAAAATATAGTCATTTCATGCAAAGAGACTAGCATTTTCTTCATGGGTTCTTTTGACCTTGGTGTAAATGTCAAGACATTGTAAACAGAAGAACACTAGAATTGTTAGGAAAATCTCTTTCTCTCTGTCTCTCTATCTCTCTGTCTCTCTGTCTTCCTATTTGTTCTTCTGTCTGTCTGTCTGTCTGTCTCTCTTACACACACACCCTCTCAAAGGGCCTTGAGGTCATCCTACTGCCCTGTAGAGCTCCAGGGAACAAACATGAGGAGCCGCTGCTGTGGAGGCTGAAGAGCAGAGGGGTGGAGTGGGTGTCAAGCCCTCCAGGCTGCAGTGTCAGATAGATGATGAGGATTCAGCACTCACAGTGGGATAATTTTGGTCCTGTAGAGTATGGTGTTGATGAAGACTCCACAGATACTCTATCAAAGGGATTTACCTGCTGTAATTACTTTTTTTTGAACAGTAGGAATTTGAAAGCTTAACTAATAGAGGCATTCTGTTTTTGCAGTCTGAATTAGAATTAAAAATGATTTTTGTTTAAAAAATGTGTTTACTTTCACCCGTATAGCTTTCTCCAAGCATGCTACACAGCAAGATTTAGATCAAAAATTCTCAGTTTTCAGTATGTCATTCTTGTCATGATGCAAGAAAGGTCATGTATGAGTGACCATGAAACTCTTCTTCTCT